GTCTTAGAGATCTGAGAGAAGACTGAGAATAAGAAAGTTTTACATTTGAAAATGATCTAGACGGTGTGCTAACATTTTCCATTTGGACTTTATTTGTAGGTATCGCTGGTTTATACTCTGCCATACTTCTGGCTCAATCAGGTCATACAGTAACAATTTACGAAGCAAGTAATCGAGCAGGTGGTCGTATTCTGACATATCGCGATCCACAAAATCCAACGGTATACATGAGTGAATTGGGTGCAATGCGTTTTCCACTCGATGCTCATCCCTATTTGAATTCGTTGATTCGAGAAAGATACAAACTGAATGTCACCGAATTTCAAATGTCCAATGATAATGCCTACATATATATCAATGGAATTTTAGCTACAGTCAAACAAGCACGTGAAAATCCAGACATGTTCGGATTTAATACGAGTCAAAGTGAGAAAGGAAAGGTAAGAAAGTCTTGTGTTTGCTCGCAAATGTCATATGAAAGGTGTTGTAGACTCCTGACCAATTGTGGAATGATGCTGTTCAACCTATGATCAACACATTCTCACAACAAGGCTGGTCATCAGTCAGAAATCAATGGGATTCGTATTCGATCGATTCCTATTTGAATAAAATCAACATGTCACGTCCAGCTATCGACTACACGAGTCTTTTTGGCAATTTTGAAACGCATCTTTATATATCTATTTTGTTTGCTATTCGTGATCAACTCGTCATTAGTGATCAAACAAAATTTTATAGTATTCAAGGTGGCAGTGATTTGTTAGTACAATCGATGGCTACTGAATGTCAAGCAATTGAATCAAATCGATGTTCCATTGTTTACTCAACTCCAATAGCTGAAGTACAATTGTTTGAGTCGGATCTGGTTCGTTTGACAACAAAGAATGGTACGAGTAAAGTGTTTGATTCTGTGATTGTGGCAACAACGGCAACTGCTGCTCAATTGATCGATTTCAATCCACGAGCCGAATTTTCCGATAAATATCGAGTCATGAGACAGTTACACTATGACTGTGCTACAAAAGTTGTTCTTTTTTTCAATGTATCCTGGTGGTACACACAGGAGAACATCAGTGGAGGTCGCTCAATTACCGATTTGTCTGTTCGTTTCATTTATTACCCGACTACTAGCAGTGATCAGACTGGCAGTGGGGCTATTATTGCCTCGTATACTTGGTCAAAAGATTCAATCGTATGGCAATCTCTGTCCGATTCAGATGCTATCGAGCTTGCTTTAAAACAATTGATTAAAATTCATCCTTCTTCGGCGAACATGCGTGATTATTTTCAAGGTGGTAAAGTCAAACATTGGTGTAATGATCCTTATGCAATTGGTGCCTGCTCTCTGTTCATTCCATTTCAAGAGACTGAACTTCTTGACAAATTACAAGCATCAATATCGAATGTTCATTTCATCGGTGAACACACAAGTTTAGTTCATGCATGGGTTGAAGGCGCTGTCGTATCGGCATTACGACCGGCCTTGCTCATTTCGGCACAAGCCGAAACAACATTCGATGTTATTATCGTGGGTGGCGGTCCAATCGGCCTGATAACAGCCGTCTTCTTATCATTAAAGGAACCGGCGCTTCACATTGTCATTGTTGATCAAGGAACGGTGATGAATTCAGATGGTAGGTCAAGCATATTTGATCAACGACAATATAGACAAATGTACGATGAAGAGTATCTTGTCGAGTTGGCCAATGTGTCATTTCCTCTTTGGCGTCAATTAGAACAAATGGCCAATATGTCACTTGGATCCATTCTGAATACGGACGATGGCTACTTATTTCTTAGTGATTTCGATGCAAGTCAATCTTCGATCGAAGATGATTTACAATCGATCAAGCGAATATGTGAACAACGTCAAATGGGATGCGAATATTTGAATAGTACACAATTACAAACACGCTATCCAACATTCACGTTCTCTCGCCAACACCATGGCATCTTTCACAATCAATCGGGCTACATCAATGTAAGCACGCTCATGTTGGCTCTCGTTCGCATCATTGCTCAAAATCCAAACATTATCATTCGTGAGCAAGAACAATTTTTGTCGTTCAAACTGGATAATCAAACACAGATCGTCACTGATCGTGGTGTATTGCGTGCTTCTCGAAAAGTTCTCTTTGTCCCTGGACCTTATGCCAAACAGGTATCTCGCTTACTCAATGTTGATCTCAATATTACATTATGGGAACTTCCAGTCTACTATTTTCGTCTACTTCCAAATGCCAGTCGCTTCCCTACCTGGTTTTCAAGGAGTGGAAGCGATCTACAATCACTCTTCTCCGGTTTTCCTATCGCTTCTTCGTCCGATTACATCGCTGTCTTACCGGGTTTCATTCCTAATTTATTCAATACATTGATTTATCCATCCCAACGGGCAAATATGGTCGATCCTTTTATCACTCAAAAAGTGATCGAGTGGGTTTCACAGCATATGGCGATGTAAGTGAATGCGTCGGATTACTATGTTATTAATGGAACATATTTGGCGACAGTTCTGCCTGACAATGGAATTTTGCTTGATTATGTTCCACAAACAAATAATCAAGTTTTGATCAAAGCCGCCGGATGGGGCATGGAGTTTGTGCCGGTTTGGGGCGATATTCTTTCCGAAATGATCTTGTTTAATAACGACGACACAATGAAGACATCGTCAAAGTACGCCAAATATATGGAATATTTTTCATTATCACGACCGAATCGACTCATCAACGATGCAACAGCAACATCCAACGAATATGACAAACGTTAACTTCTTCTTTTTCACTGTTGTGCTACTATTTCATTTCATACATTGGTTTTGTACAGCAATATGAGACTTCATCATCGAGATAATGAAATTGTCTAAATTCTTATTGTAAAAAGAACAGTGCATTGGTGAAATCATGTGTTGAAGTCAAGGGGGAACCAGCGGATTTTTTCGGATTGGAAGCGGAAATAATCCGTGAAAAATCCCCAAAAAATCTCAAAATCCCAAAAAATCCCAAAAAATCCCCAAAATATCCCGAAATGTCCCAAAGTTCAAAAAATCCCCAAATCCTGAAAAATCCCGAAAAATCCCGATTAATCCCAAAGAATCCAAAAAAGTTCTGAAAAGTTCTGAAAAATCCCAAAGTTAGAAAAAATCCGAAAATCCAAAAAAATCTCAAAATCCGCTTGTTCTCTCTTGGTTGAAATACAGATGCATAGACCGATTTCAGCAAAGCGTTCTAGTCTCGTTTCTCCACTCACTCGAGGTGCTATCCGACATAAAATTATTTTTCTTCTCAGTTGAATAGTGAGATAAATGTATTTGTATCAGTGTGGTGAACCAAAACGTATGAGACTGTCCTAGTTCTAACTAATTGACACATGGACTTGGTAGTGCTGATGCGATAGGCGTTGCTCAGTGATATTTGTGTCGAAGTATGGCTCTTATTCGGCACCTGTTTTATTCGTGATCGTTTTGCAATGGCAGAAAGAACTAAGAACATAAACACGTAGTGATGGCCTGAATACATATGAAACCTACCATGATATACTAAAGTGTCTGTGCATGTGTAGCCACTATGTGTGGCTTATAGAGCCCATTCAGGAGGACAAAAAGCCGAAGAGCTCAACTCCATAAGTGATGCGCAACTTGAGATAAAATCCATGAAACCACCGCCCAGACGGGCAGAGATTGACTGTGAAAAAATGTGATTTCGATATTGTCTATGCCGTTCGAAAGAGCACAAAAAGTTACCTATAGAATCAAAATAATAGCCTTTTCAACGATGCCTTCTGGAGATATGAGGATACAACTTCTTACATCTAGATCAGAAGTCAACTTGTAGGTGGATGTGATGAAGTAGTATCACCATATCTCCAGAAGGCACCGTTGAAAAAGGCTAATATTTTGGTTCTATGGGTAACTTTTTGCGCTCTTTCGAACGGCATAGACAATATCGAAATCAACATTTTTCATAGTCAACCTCTGTCCGTCTGGGCGGTGCTTTCATGGATTCTTATCGCGAGTTGCGCATCACTTATGGGGTTGAGCTCTTCGGTTTTCTGAACTCCTCAATAGGCTCTACAAGCCACATATAGTGGTTGCACATGCACAAGATGTCAATGTAAATATGGTATGTTTCATGTGGATTCACTCATAATGATTCGCATTGCATTAAACACGTTCCACTGGATGGTGTCTGTGATTGAGATATGAAATCTGATCGGAAAATAAACTTTCAATTGAGATTTTTATCGGACTACAGGGAGTTTATAGAAACAATAGAAACACACGCATGTACACATAGTGGACCATATATAGATATTTGAATGTTACTTGCATGTCTACACTTATGGCTATATGGAGTATTCAGGTTACCTCGTCGGTCCGAGTGAGGATGTCACGGGACATTGACACAGTCGTCGACTCGAGGGTGTGGGGTGAGAGTTAAGTGACCCACACTGTCACCCCATCCTCCAAATATACTCTAAGCTTTCCTTCAGACAAATGCATAGTGGTAGAGGCCTGCTCACATACATACGCTATATACATGCACATGACATATATGCATGGATAGCAGAAACATCGATCATTTAATCCCGAATATTCTGTACAAATCGGATACCTCGAAGACTCTTGCTTATTGGAAAAAAGAATCTTCTTCACATTTCGAATCTCAATCAAAGACACCATTATGTCACAGTTTCATACCCGACTGAACGGACAAAACAAATGAAGATCTAACTTTTACATCGTGGTATTGTGTACGAGTACTTATCACAAATCAACAGAATTGATGTCGTACCAAGAAATACAACAAATCGAAACAAGTGTGGAAACCTAATGAAACACAGTTCACCGTATTTAAAGCTCATTGACATCTATAGAATAATGCTGCCGCTTTTCAGTGTATAGAAGACCACATGCCACAAATCTCGGAATGTCTCAGGTACGGCTGCATGATAAGAGCGAAGGTACTTGTTTTGCCAACGAGTCGTTTTCTTTCGATTTTGTTATGTTCTTTACCTTGAAGTAAACGAAAGAAATCGGCACGGACAAAAGTTGCATTTAGGTCTCCACTTGTTCTATCTGTTGACATACTCAGCTTGAGTGCATAATCCAGAATTTAGTGAAAACAAATGATGAGAAAATACATAGTTTTCAGATTTTTTAGAAAACTGTTTCAAAAATCATCAAAATCTAACATTTTGCAGGATGGCTAATACATATTCGAATAGAAGACACTTCAGAATACTCGCTGTTATGCATAATTAAAATCTCCTTTTCTTATGAAAAAAGATGCACTTCTGAGGGGAGCCTCCTTAAACGAAGTATAATAGTTTTATCGTGTTCTGTGCTTCTCTTCAATACAAAGTGGAACTTCCGTTCTGATGATCCATTTTCAACTAATCTATGAATCATCTACGCATTCATAACAGAAAAGGAACAGAGGAAGTCAGTGAGGATGAAACAAAATCATGGCTCTATTCCGCTATTTTGTTTGATCTTCTATCGCACTAATGCGTCATATTGCAAGGAAATTTACGCAATATCGGGAGGCAAAATAATGACGATAGTAGCACTTCCGTCTACAGGAAAAGTCCCAACTCTCTACATGCCATACTACTATTTAAACACAATGATTCTATTACAAAACGTTACATGCACACCAATCTCTCTCAAGAATCATGCTTCTCATATTCATTCTCCTGGCAATTCTTATTACCTATGGATACATGATTATCAAACAACGATATTTCAAACTTCGTGATAGTATACCCGGACTTGAACCTCAACTATTCATTGGAAATCTTTGGCAAACAGCTGTCATAGCTGGCGAATCTCTCTATAATGTATGGTTAAAAATGCATCGAATATATGGTGATATCTATCAATATTGGATTGGTTTTAATCATTTTTATGTATTCAATAAATTGGAACATGCTATACATATACTCTATGAATGTGGTAGTAAATATGAACGAACAGAAACAGCTTTACTTATGTTTCGTTCATTTCAACCAAACGGACTCGAAGCAATCAAAGGTAAGATAAAATACTCTCTCTTTTCGACTTATCCAAAAAATCGTATTTAGGTGTTGCACACAAACAATTAGTTCGTCTATTGGGTCCATTATTTCGTAAGACGAATATGCCTTCGTATACGAATGAGGCTATAGAATGTATCGATGGAATGATAACTTCATGGTGTCGAAGTATCGATAAAATTCCACGAACAGATCTTGTCGATCAATTCTCTTTACTTTCATTCGATCTTGTTGCTAAACAATTGTTTGCTGGTTATGATCTACAAGTATGGTCGGATCAATCGAATCATGATGCTCATCAATTACTTACATCAATGTCCGATATTGCTCGACATGTTCAAATTATTGCTCGATATTGTTTACCTGAACCATTGGCCAATGTCTTTGTTAAGACAAGTCCAAGTTTTCGACGTGCTGTTCGTACAGTAAATAGAATAGCTGACAAGATTGTTGATCATCTATTTGAACAACAAGAAAATCAACAACAGGATCAGTTCATGGACGAAGATGATACTGGTATCGAAGTCAGAACAAAAAGTTTGAAAGATTTGTCTCCATCGAGTAAACAATCAGGTATGTATATGTCCTAAGAATGACAAGTTCATCTGCTTTTGTTTTATTCGGATAGGTACACTATTGGCGCCGTGGCGTAAACAAGTCTCTGATTGGATCTTGTCTTTTCTTGGTGGTTCATTTGATACAACTAGTGTTTATGCATGGTTTGTTTACTATATGAGTAAATATCCAGAAGTGCAAGCATCGATTAAACGTGAATTAGCCGAACATGGAATTGATCGACGGGCAACATTACCTATCACTTCGGAGATAATCGCGTCTCTTGACTATGTTGAGTGTGTTCTCAAAGAAGTGTTACGTCATGCACCCATTATTGAACATGTTCAACGACAAGTAATTTGTGAAGATGAACTCGATGGTGTTTCATTACATGTCGGCGATCAAGTACTTATTCCATTGGCAAGTATTCATCGAAGTCCAAAACTATGGCATCATCCAGCGGGTCCAGATGCTTTTGTACCCGAACGATTTCTCACCGATGATAAACATCATCATCCACAAGCATTGGTTATATTTGGTGGTGGTCATCGTCGTTGTATTGGTCAACACTTAGCTCGATTCCATTTGAAACTGTTCATTGTACGTACCATGCAAATGCTCACCTTTCATGATGCACCCGGCAACGAGGGAACTTGTTTAACGAATATTACCGGTGTACCATCATCACTCATCGTTCGTATCACTTTCGACAATGATGCTCAGTGATCGTTCACTTTCTTGGAAGAAAATACTGTTTACATCTATGTATAGACACATTTTGACATGATAATAAACTTATTTGAAGTCGGAGGTATAGAACAACTTTATTTATAGTGGAGGTCAGGTTGATGATAACTTCGTCTATCATTCGATCATTCTTTTTCCTTGTTGTCTACTGCATCGGACGATCGAACCGACCATAGTGGTAGTGTGATCGGAAGAGACGAGAACAGTTGAACATACTGAGAAGAGAATCAAAAGATTCTTTGTCTTTCCTCCAAACACTGAAGTAGTGGCGGAGCCAGGATTTTGGCCGTGGGGGTGGGGGGGGGGGGGGGGGGTCGACGATTAACTATTTGTGGACCTCACGTAGATTTTCGAAGAAAATAGTGAGTGT